CCCCTTTCCCTCCACACCCGCCTGCCCCTTCCCTCCCCTTTCTCTGTCCTCCCTTCCCTCCCTTTTCCTCACTAATTGGCTCACTTGTTCACTCATTCCTGCCTGCCTCCTTCCCTCCCTTCCTTCTTCAAGATCTGTCCTTCTTTTCCTTCTACATCCTGCCAGAAAGAAAACCATTTCACAATAAGCTCACTATTACTATTGTTTTGTGGTAGACTTTTTAAAAAGCTGAGAGGATGTGCAAGTCTTGCCAGACATTATAGAAATGGCTGTGTTCTTATGTGGAAGAGACCTTAAAAACCATTGCTCACTGTTTGTTCTGGCAAACAGCAGCATCATGGAAGCAAGCATAGAATGGTTTTACAGTCAAAAAGGGAGTTGGTTTTCTCAGACAGTTTCATATAGATAGACAGCAATTAATTTACTTCACAAACCTTCTTATGGTAAGACACTCTAATTGTTTTATTTATGCCAACACAGGAAGGAGATTATGAAAGGAAAAGAAACACAGTTAATTCACATTCTTTGGAAATAGTTGGGATAACTCTTAAAGGTTTGCCTTGAAGCAAAGCAAGCTTCTTAAAGACAAAAAAAGAAGTTTCTCTGGCACAAGTTCATCAAAGTTATGTGCACAATGTACTCCATAGTTATCTCCTCCCTGCAAAAAAGAAATCTGCTGCCTATACTCAGCACAGACATCAAGCTGAAAAAGTGAACCACCCAAAATGGAATGAAACAAATGGTACCTCCAAGATATCAAGGCAGACATTTAAGGCATTCATATATACATTGATTATATTAGCCTTCATGGAATTGCAAAGCCATGAGAACAAAACAAAACAAAACAAAACAAAAAAAGCTTTTAACTACTCTCTGCTCCAGGACTGAACTATACCATATGTACTCACATCTGCCCTAAATCAGAGTGAAATACACAATGCAAATAAATATGACACACAAAAGAGGACTGAAACACCACCCTGCCTTACATGCAATCAAGTTTGAGCCACGTTCAGATGATCCAGATGTTGAAAAAATATAGTAACAAATAATTTTTAAGTCCTAGAAGATGGATAATAAAACTTGAGGGCTTCTCTAATTTTTCTTTTAATTTCATTTATTACAAAGTAAGGTAGATAAGGGAAGAGGGATGGTAGTAGAAGAAAGGGGAAAAGACTATGATTGCCAGGGAGTTCTGATGTGGCACTGTAGGATGAGCGTTGGATCTAAGTGTTGTCTTAAACATCAAGGTTGGTACATCAAACCCACCAACTGCTCCTCGGAAATCCTATCCCAGGTCATTATGAATCTGAACCAACTTGATGGCAATTAACAACAATAGCATGGTTGCCAGAGAGTATGGAGTTGCAAAACGAAAAATAAAAACATGCTTAGCATTTCTTAAGCTGAAAGAACGGAATTGCTGCATATGAGTGTTGAAAGTGGATCCAAGAAAAATGAAATATTTGACAACTTCTATCTTTTTTACATTTATCATGTTATTTACTGGTCTGTTATAAGAATTTCTGTTATTTTGAGTTGCAATCCTTACTGAATGCTGTAGTGTTTGATCTTCATCAATATTTTAAATACCCTTCATTTCCAGCAAGCAACCTTGTGTCATCTGCATATCTCAGATTGTTCATGAGTCTTTCTCCATGCTGATTCTATATTCTTCTTCTTCTAATCCAACTTCTTGGATTATTTGCTCAGCATACAATTTGAATAAGTATGGTGAAATGATACATCTCTGGGACACACCTTTCCTGATTTTAAACCGTTCGCTATACCCTTGTTCTGCCTTTTAGTCTATGTACGGGTTCCTCATGAGCTCAACTAAATGTTCTGGAATACTAGTTCTTTGCAATGTTTTCCATAACTTGTTAAGATTCACACTTGAATGCCTTTGAATAGTCGATACAGCACAAGTAAACATCTTTCTGGTATTCTCTGATTTTAGCCAATCATCTGATATCAGCAATAATATTCCTAATTCCATATCCTTTCCTGAATCTGGCACAAATTTATGGCAACTCCTTGTTGATGTATTGGTAAACTGTTTTTGAATTATCTTCAGCAAAAAAAAAATTTTTGCATGTGATACTAATGATATTGTTAGATGGTAGTTCCAATAGGTCATCTCTTTGTGGAATGGACACAAATATTGATCTCTTCCAATTGGTTGAGCAGCTGTCTTCCAGATGTCTTGGCAAAGATGAGTGAGCACCCTCCAGTGCTGTATCAGTCTGTTGAAAGATTTCAGTTTGAATTCCATAAGGTCCTGGAGCCTTGTTTTTCACCAGCGCCTTAAGCGTAGTTTGGACTTCTTCAATACCATTGGTTCTTGAAATGGTTGAATATCGACCAATTATTTTTGATGCAGTACTTTGTATATTCTTTCCATCTTCTTTTGGTGCTTTCTGCATCATTCATTAGTTTGCCAATTGCTGTTCTTAAGTGCTGTTGAATCAGTTCCAACTCATAGTGACCCTGTATAGGGTTTCCAAAGAGGAGCTGGTGGATTTGCACTACTGATTTTGGAGTTAGCAGTCCAGTGTTTATGCCACAGCACCACACCAGGAGTCCATTTTACCCATTAGAATCCTTCAATATTGCAAGTCAAGGCCTGAATTTTTTCAATTTTCAGCTTGAGAAATGCTGAGCATATTCTTCCCTTTTGATTTTCTGATGTCAGATCTTTGTATGTTTCATTATAATAATGGACATTATCTTCTCCAGTTGCCCTTTAAATTTTTCTTTTCAGATCTTTTACTTCTTCATTTTTCTCCTATTGCTTTAGCTTCTGTACATTCAACAGCTGATTTCAGGGTTTCTTCTGACATCTGTTTTGGTCTTTTCTTTCATTTCTATCTTTCTAATGACTTTGCTTTCTTCATGAATGATGTACCTGATATCATCTCACAACTCCTAAGTCCTTTGGTCTTCGTTCATTAGTGTCTAATGAATCAACTCTGTTTTTGTGATGGTCTCTAAATTCAGAAGGGATATAATCCAGGTCATATTTTGGCTTGAGTGGAATTTTAAATTTTTCTTCAACTTCAGCCTGTGATTGCATATGTTGTTGTTGTTGTTAGGTGCCATTGAGTCAGTACTGACTCATAGCGACCTTATGCACAGTAGAATGAAACACTGCCTGATCCTGAGCCAACTTCACTATCTTTGCCATGCTTGAGCCAATTGATGCTGCCACTTTGCCGATCCATCTCACTGAGGTTCTTCCTCTTTTTCTCTGACCCTCCATCCTACCAAACATGATATCCTTTTCCAGCAACTGGTCCCTCCTGACAATATGTCCAAAGTATGAGAGAGAAAGTTTGGCCATCCTGGCCTCCAAGGAGCACTCTGGCTGTACTTCTTTCAACACAGATCTGTTTGTTCTTTGGGCAGCCCATGGTACTTTCAATATTCTCCTCCAACACCATAACTGAAATGCATGAATTCTTCTACAATCTTCCTTAGTTACTCTCCAGCTTTCACATGATTGAAGTTATTGAAAATACCATGGCTTGAGTCAAGCGTACCTTAGTCCTCAAGCTGACATCTTTGCTCTTCAACACTTTAAAAAGGTCATGTGCAGATGATTTGCCATTGGCCTTGTAAAATTCCATCATGTGATCTCCAGAACTGGTCCTTATATATTATATATATGTATGTATGCGTGTATAGGAGTCCTGCTGTGGTGCTATAGGATTAACTCTGGATTGCTAACCACAAGATAGGTGGTTCAAACCCATCAACCACTCCTTGGAAACTCTACAGGGTCACTATGAATCAGGACTGACTCGATGTTACTTAAAACAATATATATAACTTAAGGACCCCTGGTAGCACTGTAGGTTAGGCATTGGACTTCTAACTAAAAGTTGATGAATCAAAACCATCAGCCACTTCTTAGGAGATAACTGAGGCTGTCTGTTCATTAAAGATTTACAAACTCAGGAACCCCCTGTAGGGTTGCTTAGAGTCAGAATCGACTTGATGGCAGTAAGTTTGTTTTTTTGGTTTATAAACAAATAAGGTATATATAACTTATTTAAAATAATTGTTTTTAATATTCAAATTCACCTGGGCTATTGTCATTTCTTTTTTTCCCCCACAAAATCTGGCAATGTTAAAAAAGAGGAAGAAACTCTTATTTACTAAAATTCTGATTTTGTTATTGATTTTGCAATGGAACCTAAAAACTGTTAACATACACTCTGATAGTATATTAAATACTATCATGAAAGCTTTGAATATGTTTTCCAGATACTCATATTCTACTTACAATTCTAGACTAAGTCTCTTTCTGTACATGAAACTTTTATTATGTACTTTTAGCCATAATTTTTACATGGCAACTTACCTCTCTCCATTCACTGATTGGACTGGGAAATAGACTTTTCCAGACTAGGTAAACATCTGAACATGGCAAAGAAGTTTTATCTAGTAGCTGGTTCTTTAAGGAAATTAAAAGTAAAATTCCCATAGAAAAATGAATGTATTCCTCCTAATCTTCCCACAAATGGAGTCCTGGTATGGTGCTGTGGGTTAATGTGCCAGACTGCAAAGTCATTTGAACTGCAACATCAGTGGTTCAAGCTCACCCGCTGCTCCTCAGAAACCCTATACAGGGTTGCTCTGGGTCAGAACCTACTCAATGGCACTTCACAACAACAACAATCTTCCCACAAAGAGTTTTCAGTTTTCTCAACTGTTTATAAGAATATGATTTTTTAAAAATATCATAAAAAAGTACATTGTAATCATGTTTTTAAAAACATACTGAAAATAGTTCTAAAATATGCTTGGAAGTTAGTGTAACATCTAAACCTTTGTCTGGGGCTTATAAAATACTTTGTAATAATTTACATAATATATATTACATATGCAATAAAATATATACTAAAAATTCCAACACTGAATACAAATGCCACATGCATATCTGTATTTAATTCTAAAATTTAATGATAACTTTGTGAAGCCTTTTTCTTTTACAGTTTGCCAGGCATATCAAGAAATCTGAAGGCCAGAAAATTCCTAAAGTTGAGTTGCAAATATCAATTTATGGAGTGAAAATTCTAGAACCTAAAACAAAGGTAAGGCAGTTTTAACTTCTCTAAACTGAGCTGACTTTCAAATGCCAGCAACACTATGGTCTTTTATTTGCAATTATATTTTTATCTTAATAAATACCTAAAATATATTATAATCTGAAACTGCTTACTGTTCACTTAATGGCAATTTAAAATTCTAGATTTTTAGGAGTATAAACAATTTCTGGGGATTGCTTTCTGTGTGGTCTGTTTTTCAACCTGTATTGTGTTGTAATCATTTGTATTAAGTATATTCAATAGTGTGTGAATTTGTATTTTTGAATTTCTCTTCAAGTTAAGGAGACATATCCAGTGTGGTTCACTGAGTAGGAAGGAAGACAAAAGCAGTGGTTTGTTTATTCAGATGTTCTGGACTGGCGCTCATTGTCTATAGATATAATCGGCAAAAGCCTAAGGGTTTTTGTTTTGTTTTGTTTTTTAAAAACCATTGCTCCCTACATATCAAATCAAATATTTTATATTATAACTTACTATAGAGCCAAATTCTTTAATCCATACTTTGTTCATAATGCCTCCGAAGTATGGAGTACTGGTATGGTGCTGTGGGTTAATGTGCCAGACTGCAAAGCCATTCGAATTGCAAGGTCAGTGGTTCAAGCTCACCAGCTGCTCCTCAGAAACCCTATACAGGGTTGCTGTAGAAGAATTGATGCCTTTGAATTACAGTGTTGGAGAAAAATATTGAAAATGCCATGGGCTGCCAAAAGAACAAACAGATCTGTGTTGGAGCAAGTGCAGCCAGATGCTCCTTGGAGGCCAGGATGGCTAAACTTTGTCTGTCATACATATTGTCAGGAGGGACCAGTTGCTGGAGAAGGATATCGTGTTTGGTAAGGTGGAGGGTCAGAGAAAGAGAGGAAGACCCCCAGTGAGTTGGATTGGAAGAGTGGCAGCATCAGTTGGCTCAAGCTTGGCAACAATTGTGCGGTTGGCTCAGGATCGGGCAGTGTTTCCTTCTGCTGTGCATAGACTCTCTATGAGTCGGTACAGACTCGATGGCACCTAACAACAACAACAATGTGGGTCGGGATCAACTCAACGGCACTTAACAAAGACAAAAATTATGATACGATTATAAGGTTGTTATGTGCCGTGGAGTCAGTTCTGACTTATAGCAACTCTGTACAGGGTTTCCAAGGCTGTAAATCTTTACGGGAGCCTCATCTTTCTCCTGCGGAACAGCTGGTACTTTTGAACTGCTGACTTTTCGGTTCACAGCCTGATTCATAACCACTAGTTTTGAAAACTTGAATAACATGTAATTACAAATATTTTAGATAGATATTATCAGTGTGTTCCTCTAACACTGTAGAGTGTGTAGTAATTGCGCTTACCCCTCATTTATTGACTATTTCATTTTCCAACATTTTGCATTTACAACAGTAAAATACCCACTAACCGATTCTTTTGCGTATCAGCAGGATGATGAGCAAGGTGACATAACTGGGGAGCATACCTTCTGTTGAGGAGGGTCTCTAGGCTGCGTCTGAAAAGCTGGGCCATACTGCCCCAGGACCTTCAGCTCCTTCCTATGAGCAGAGGCACCACATCCACCAGCCTTCATGCAGGGCACCAATAGGAGCTTATTTGGGAGTCCCAGTTCCTATATAGTCTAAGACTGTGCAACTCAAAATTGCTGTTAGGTAGGGAGGGAAGGAAGAGGAGAGAAAGATGCATCAGAGAGCATGTTTTGATGAAATGTGTATGAGTTTAATGACATCTCAAAGTGAGGTGAACTGGCCCTGAAGCAGGGCCAGGCTCCAGCACCCCAAGCCTCAGTGACTTGTCTAGCACAGAAGCTGAGTAGACTGGGGAAAACAGGGTTTGCACGGCTAAGAGTGGAACCCTGGAGGAAGATGAAGTGATTAAACATGGTCCTTCTCATCACACAGCTGAATGTTATCCGGCTTTCTCTCCTCCATGCCTCCTCCACAAAGACTCATCACAGTTATTTACGTTAGTAAATCCTACCTGTTATAATTTCTGTAATCATATTTTTCAAATTTAAAAAAAATCAGACAAATGGAATGTCTGAAAACAGAAAAAAAATAATCCTCCATTTTTGCATAATGCCAATTTTCACATGATGACTTTATCTTTGGAACCTATCCATGTCAATAAATGAGGAATGGATTTACTGCATTTCAAAAGCCCAAGAAAATCCTGGACATTCTGTAAATAGATTAGGAAAGCATTTTCCACAGTGGTAAAAATGGCATGAGGCAACATCTGACCTCCTCTGCCTTTACAAGGGGCAAGGAAAATCAAACTCAAGTCAGTCCAAGGCTGAGTCCTAGGAGACAGAGGTCAGTTATGTCTCCAACCTCCTGTACTAATGCTGACATCAACCATGTCTTCCACGGCACTCTCTATTTCTCATCTGGGTTCAAGAATTCATTGCAATGATAACACAGAACTCCCAAACCATACTCATGATTATGAGATTTATTAGGGAAGTTCAAAGGTTACAATTCAGAAATGCTCAGGACACAGTTGTTGCGTCAGGACAGCCTCTTCCTAACTCTCCCCACATGTAGGCTTCTTTCCAGTCCTAGACCTCTCAGCCACACTCCCTTTTGCCTCTTCTCTGCTTGAGCAATATTATAAAACACTTTTAGTACTACTATACTATTAAATGTTCAGAGACTATACTGCTCCACAACCTTATCCCAAAAGCACTCAGCTCTAGCTCTGTGGGCCAGCAAATCTATCTCCCCCAAGTTAGTTCCAAGATGCACCTAAAATGCAAGCGGGGCTCCTGCCTGAAGGAAGGCACTCAGTTTTACTTGTTCTGTGGGTCAGAAAGCCCACCTCTCTGATTCATGTTCTTGCTTTTGGTTCTGCTGTTGCCACTTCTCTAGTATTACAACTGTCCTTGGATCAAGGAACTCAGTACAAAAGACACACTCCACGTCTGGTTCTTCTCTCTTAATGTTAATTAGCCCGTCTGCTCCTGCTGAGATGGCTCGTTTTATACCCAGCCAGATGGCAACATTGACCAATCTACTTGTTAGAACAGTTCGAAGTTTTTACAATCACAATTAACCCTATAAATAATCACTGACAACTGAATCATATAATCCTACCAGCATCTCCCACCACCTTCTCTTACCCAGACCCATCAGTAAAAGTGGAAATACACCAAATCTTCATGGTGCCACTCTGTCATTTGATGGGAGTTACAAAGATTATTAAAAGGATAGTCATATTAAGTAATTTACGGTACAGCAATATGTCTGCAATTTTGCCCTAGTCCAACGAGGGCCACTAATACCTACATCTATGTAAATACCAACCTCTGGAAATGGCTTGATATTAACAATGTGGTCTGTGGACCGGCAGTATCAGCATTGCATAGAAGCTTGTTAGAAATATCAAATCTTAGACCCCATTCCAGACCTCCAGAATCTGAATCATCAGGTTAAACAGAATCATTGTGATCCATATGTACATTAATGTCTGAGACTTTCTGTTGCATTGCACATGCATTTTCAAATTGTAGTCCAAGGGATACTTGCATTAAAAGTATATGAAGCAACGATTCAAGGCCAAAACATTTACCCAAGGGCAAAGTTGAGAAGGGTTAGGAAGGAGAATGGAATGGAAGTAAGAACCACAGGGAGAAAGTAGGGTAACTGCTATTACATAGAACCAATTGCAGTTATGGTGATGAAACAAGGTTTATGATTGGTTGTATGAATAATCTCTATTAAGCCTTCACTCAATTCATCATAACAAGTTTCCAAAAAAAAAAAAAATAAAATACTTGAGCATTTGTAAAAAACAAGTTTTGCAGGAAAGTATAAGAAAAAAGAATGAAGGGAAACTGTACATACATGGAAGAAGCTGGAAGAGTATTGTTACATCATGGGGATTACAGTCAATGTCACAAAACAAAATGTGTATGAACTGTGGAATTGAAAACCACTTTGCTTTGTAAACATTTACCCGAGTTACAATGTAAAAAGAGAGAGACACACTAACAACTATATTCCTAATGCCTGGGCTTTCCTTACCATCACTCTGACCTCCAAAAGTCAATGTTGTTGTTGTTGTTAAGTGCCATCGAGTCAGGTCCGACCCAAAGCGACCCTGTACAGGGTTTCCGAGGGTGTAAATCTTTACGGGAGTAGAAAGCCTCATCTTTCTCCCGCGGAGCGGCTGGTAGTTTTGAACCGCTGACCTTAAGGTTCGCAGCCTGATTCGTAACCACTACGCTACCAGAGCTCCAAAAGTCAATAGATGTGTTTAATTTTTAGGGGCCCACAAGATATTCCGTTGGAGAAAGATGAGGCTTTCTGCTCCTATAAATATTTACAGCCTCGGAAACCCTGTACAGGGTCGCTATGAGTGGGAAGCAACTCCGTGGCACATAACAACGATTTTCTAGTCATCAAATTTCTAGACAATTAGGGTGTTGCATTTTTACAGTACAAGAGGTAAAAAAATGATATGACTGTAGGACCCCATTTCAGACAACGATCTGAGACCCCATGTCAGACAACATGATCAGAAACTCTGAGTGGGGAACTTTTGCTCTTTGCTCTTTTTGAGAACTGTAATCTAGTGTTGGATGCACCCATCATTACTGCTCTATTCCAGATGAAAGAACAATAGCATTCTTTCAGCCTTCTCAAGCCATTTATTTAAGACCAACCACAACAATCTTGTCTAATTTCCTCCTATACTCCACCCTCACTATTAAATAACAAAGAGGTTACATTGGTTTTGGCTATCCAAAAAGAACTAGTGCTGAGGTGACTGAAAACAGACAGAGGAAGTAATGACAAGAGATTCAAGCATATAATAAGATTCATGAAAGTAAGGTACTATCTACTGTAGTATAAACACTGGACTGTAAGATCTTTTTGAATCACAGGTTTGGCAGTTCAAATTCACCAACTACTCCTTGGAAACCCTATACATGATCACTACAAGTTGGAACAGACCCTATGGCATTTAACAGCAATCTACTTAAAAGG